GCAAAGGCCATAGAGGTGAAATGGCACAGAACCACATCTATCACATATATCCCAAATGAGTTTGGCTGGCCCCTCTCCTGCAAAGCACAATGAGGATTCAGACTCCTGGTCTCAGGCATTCTAACCCACTGAGCTATATTATATTTGGGATTTAGGCTATAATGTAAAAATCCAGCAATTCTGCTAGAACAAAAATACTGTAGTTATTTTTAAATGAAGATCAATAACAGATACATGGAACTTCAGCCTCAGAATAGCTCACGTTTCTTAACAAATAAGTAAAAGATAAACAAATAATTTGCCATTTGAATGCCAAAATATATTTTGAATATGATTCAAGTTCTTGTTTGAGAGAAAAAAGAGATAATTTAAATTCTATGTCATGGCTGTAGATTGAACATGATTATGCTGTCAATGCACTACAGTTCATGAGTATTTAATAGTATACTTAATGTACACTAGCTAATGGTTTTATGCATTTAGAAGACAGATTAAGTTGCGTTTTACCCCACTAATTAGCTATAACATGATGTCACAGCGTTGACTAGCTAAATCTCTTCAATAGACATGTTGTATATATTGCAACCCATATCCTTTGCCAAACCTCGAAACATAAATCATGTTCTAAGACCACAAAGACAGGTTTTTGAAACCTCTTAGTCATCTCCATCAACCATGGTCATCACATTTTGGGGGGGAAAATGGTACTGCTTCATCCTGTTTTGCCGAACGTTTGACTCCTTCATCTGACTCATATGGGTTCACAAGGGCAAGACATGCCACTGGGACTCTCCCTTGGAAAAGCTTAGATCAACTCTTCACCTTACTTGTGTTACCATCTTGGTGCTCATCGGAACCATGCAGTGCTTCATTTTTAGCATTTTTGCATCACAAATATTATTTGTAAGTTCGTTTGTAAAAACAGAACCAGGACCAACCTTAGACATGCTGCTGCCTGGGGAAGGATGATGCTTCCCTTCTATCATAGTGCACGTTAGCAAATTTAAACTTCTAAAAACGAACCTTAAAAGGTGGTGAGCATAACCCTAATTCACTCTGAAATATTGCCAAATTTCATTCACATCTGTGAAAAAATAAATAAATAAAAATATGGTTGTTGGCAGAACAATTTTAAACCTTGACCTATTCTTGAGATCTATTCTGAAATCTATCCACCTCTGTGGTGACCACCTTTTTGTGTGTGCATGTTTCATTCACTTCTCTGAAAAATGAAATAAAATATTGGGACTGCTTTTGCTTCCTAATGAAAATGTGGGTTTTTGAATTGCAGTTTAGATTCCAGTCCAGATTATGTTGGATCAGCTCTAAATTGGCCAAAGCTGATTCAGGACTGCTTTTAAATCATTGTGTCAGGCCCTGAATCAAACTGCAGAGCTCTTGAAGAGCTTTGATTTTAAAAGGAATGCTCATCTCCAGTATGCATCATCTTAGAAAAAGCATTAGCTTTTCCTTTGGGAAAAAGAGGGATGTGGCACCTCCAGTTTCTTTGTATTACAATAGTACAGTATCATCTTTCTCTGTGTGTCATCTGAATACCTCAGTGGTTTAAAGACATAGGCTGGGTGTTCAATCCCCCACTGTGGCTCCTTGGCGTGGGTGGGCCTGGACTTGGTGATCCATAGCTCTGCAGTTCTCTTGTTGTTGATGATGATTATGATTGTAAATCAACAATTTTAATATAATCAAATCTATTAAACTTCAAAGGTCTGCTGCTTATTTTTGCTATTATTATTGTTGTAATCATAATAATTAATGCTTCTTTAAATACCAGGTAGCTTTGATTGCAAGATATTGATGGCTGTAATTCTGTGTGAAATGTTACCCCCCCTCCTTTCCTTATCTCTTCCATTAGACTTGCTTGCCCATTAAATTCTCCCATTTTCCTTTCTGCTCAACTCTCCATGCTGAACTTGGTTGTCTCTCTGTCCCTCTGCAGCTGTTTGTCAAGATCCGGCCCTGATCCATGCTATCAATTCTTTTTCTCTCGTTTGGGTGTCATGCTGTTGGGCAGTTTCAGAAGGAAGTATGAAGTGAGCTTTGCTTTCAATTAATTTTTGAAGAAGTAGCCATCTTAGTCTCTGCAAGCATATTGTTGGACAAAATGAAAACAAAACAAAGAGACAAAAATGTTGTGGCACCTTAAAGACTGACTGCTATATTTTACTGTGAGCTTTTGTGGATCAAATCCATTTGATAAGATTAAGACTATACAGCTGGTATAAATATGATTTGTAGTCCAATGTCTCTGGTGGCATGGGTTATGGAAAATATATTATGTGAATAGCAAACTCATTCTCCAAATATGGATACTTATATACAGTGTGATCTCCACATCCACGGGATCAGTATCCACAATTTCAGTAATCTGCTGTTTCAGTTTACTGCAGCCCTATATCCAGCATACAAGGGGGTGAGCCTTGTGGCTTTTGTCCTGCTTGTTGTGGCATTGGTCTCATTTATTTGTATTTATTCTTGGCCCCAGGACAGGTGAGGATACAGATAATGGACAAATGACCCTTGTGGCTTTTGTCCTGCCCGTTGTGGCATTGGTCCCATTTCTTTGTATTTATTCATGGCCCCGGGACAGGTGAGGATACAGATAATGGACAAAATGACTATGGTTGTTGTGGGTTTTTTGGGCTCTTTGGCCGTGTTCTGAAGGTTGTTCTTCCTAACGTTTCGCCAGTATCTGTGGCCGGCATCAACCAGAGCACAGAGTGCTGTCCTCTGAAGATGCCGGCCACAGAGACTGGCGAAACGTTAGGAAGAACAACCTTCAGAACACGGTCAAAGAGCCCGAAAAACCCACAACAACCATTAGATCCCGGCCCTGAAAGCCTTCGCAAATAAAATGACTATGACTTGTTAGTAAAGGAAAAGGGTTATCCCAGTGGTCCCCATCCTTTTCTGAACTGCGGACTGGTTAGGAAGTGGGGCGGGGGGTGGGGTCCTTGCGCAGGTGGGTGGGCACCTCTGTGTGTGTGTGTGTGTGTGTGTGTGTGTGTGTGTGTGTGTGTGTGGGTGGGTGGGGCCTGTGTGTATGTGTGTGTAGGTGGGTGGGGCACCCGTGCATGGGTGGGCAGGGCCCCTGTACATGTGTGCATGGGTGGGTGGGGAACCTGGCATACATGTGGGGGGCCTGTGTGTGCTTGTGTGGAGGGGAGTGTGCAGGGGGCAGGAGGTTTGTCTCTGCAGCCCGGTCCTGCCAAGGCCACGGGACTATCCAACTCTGTATAATGTCACTTTAGTATAATGTCACTAAAAGGTACCAATAGCATAGTTGACAAAAGTGGCAAACTTTCAGTCAGCGCTCTGTTTCTGCTCTCCAGTATTCACCTGGCTGGACAGCATTACAGTGCTCAGATCCACACTTGTGCCAACTATGGTTAGAATCGCTTTTCTGTCTCTGAGGCTGTAACTGTCTGCTTGGATTGTTCTCTTCTGCTACATGTGCGGCACCTTTCTTTGTTTAAATGAGTCATCTTCTCTCCTAATGTTCCACTGAAATTTATCCTCCTGTAACGTAAGCCTGTTTTTCCAAAAACTTTAGCCCTTCCCACTGTGACAGGCAGAGATGTCTTCATCACCTGTTATACAACAGCCCTCCAGGGATTTGAAGAGTGTTGCCTTCTCCTTGGGATTCCCAGTATGGTGTAGTGGATCGAGTGATGGACTAGGACTCTGGAGAACAGGGTTTGAGTCCTAATTCAGCCTTGGAACTCATTGGGGGAGTGGAACTGGTAAAGTCATTGCTTAAATATCTGACCTACCTTGAAAGCTTTATTAGGGACACTATAAGTCTATTCCAACCTGACAGCACAGAACACACAGACCTTGTCCTTGAAGGAATTAGAAATATAATCAAGTGTAAGAATGTGTCACCAGAGAACAAGACTAAGATCATCCACACTCTTGTATTCTTGATCACCATGTATGGATGTAAAAGCTGAACAATAAGGAAAGCTTACCGGGGGGAAAAAATTGATTAGTTTGAAATGTGGGCTGGGGGAGAGCTTTGCAGATGCCTTGAACTGCCAGAAAGACAAACAAATGGGTCCTAGATCAAATCAAGCCTGAACTATCTCTGGAGGCAAAAATGTTGAAACTGGGGCTGACCTACTTTGGGCACATTGTGAGAAGGCAGGATTCTCTGGAAGGACAGTAATGCTGGGAATGGTGGAAGGCAGCAGGAAAAGAGGAAGATCAATCATGAGATGGACTGACTCACTAAAAGAACCCATGAGCTTAGTTGAACAGGGCAGTTAGGTCACCTATGTATTATTTTCTGAATTGTTATACAGTGGTGCCTCGCTTAACGAGCGCCTCGTATAGCGACGAATCCGCATAGCGATCCCCTTTCCGGGCTCGCTAATGCGGGGGCATCGCGTCAGCCTCTATGGCCGAAACTCGCATAGCGAAAATTGGTAAGCGTTTCGCTTACCGACCTTCGCTTTGCGCCCCGCGGATCAGCTGTTCGACGGGTCCAAAATGGCCGCCGGAACAGCCGAAATGGCCACGCGCAGCGGTTTCGCGCCCTCCCCTCGCTTACCGAGGGCGCGAAAATGGCTCCCGGCTATGGGAAGACTTCATTAAACGGTGAGTTTTCTGCCGATTGGCTTTTTTTGCTCCGTTTAACGAAGTATTCACATAGCGAAGGTTAATCCGGAATGGATTAACCTCGCTATGCGAGGCACCACTGTATTGTGAATGACCAAAGGTTTGTTGAACATGATGTTTAGTAGTTATGTTAGAAATCTAAAGAGTGGAAGCTTTCCACAAGTACAGTGTGTTATTGATTTTTAAAATACAGTAAAAGCCCAAACAAGCTGAAATAGTATTTATTGAATCATTTGACTAGGGAGAAATTTTAGAAACATCTTTTGTGACCTTTTATACTTCAGAGAGAAAAGGAGAGAAATAAGGTAAATCTAATGATTTCTTATGTTTGTAGAATGAATCACAGAGGCAGTATCCTTTCCTTATATTTTCTCCTCCACCTCCTTAATTTGGGATGAAACGACTTTGCCATCCACGACTTCTTCAACAATTGTCTTGATCTTCCTGGTTTTATTTGGATCTAAGGAAGAAAACAAGGAAGGTTCATGACACGTCGTTCACTTATAAACCAGAGTTCAATTCAGATATGCTGGAAACAGTTTTGAAGAGCGCTGCTATTTTTTGAGCAGTTTTGTCTTTTTTGAACAGTTTTTTTAGCACTAGTTTTGTCACCAGTGGCGCTGGGTTCAAGAAAGCGGAATGCCTCATTTCACAGACATGTCCCTCTGCTTGAACCACATGCTGCCAGTGTGCTTTCCTTAATGCAGTTAGATGCTTTTGAAAAGTTTATGACTTCAGTAGGCAACAACTGTCTGTGGCTCTTCAGGTGCTGTCAGGTAAATGGTGTGGCATGAGCTTGAAGAGAGACAGATGTCTAGTTCTCTTGAGGAGAAAATAAATCAGGTAGGCAATGGTTATATTTTGAATTTACGTTATAGAGCAGGGCTGGGCACTGTAGTCCTTCCGAGGTCTTGGGTCTACAGCTCCCATTGGCCCTAACCCTCTCCCTAGCTGGGAGAAAAGGGTTGTGAGATTTGTCATTTAAAAAAGAGATATATAGAGAGCCATAGGTGTCCAACCCTGCTATACAGCCTTATACATTAAATGATAGTCAAGGACAGTGAAAGTGGAACATGAGCAGTTAGGGAGATAAAAATGGAATTAGCTTCAGGGGTATGCCTGAAAAAATCATTTCAAAAGTTATGTCACACCCTATTCTTGCCATCCTCTAGATTAGCCTTCCCCAACCATGGTCTCTCAAGTGTTTTTGGGTTACAACTCCCATAAACCTTCCCAGGGCTGGTATAATACGATTTGTAGTCTAATGTCCCTGGTGGCATGGGTTATGGAAAGTATATTATGTGAATAACAAACTCATTATCTAAGTATGGGTACTGATATACAGTATGACTCCCATATCCACAGGATCGGCATCCACAGTTTCAGTAATCTGCAGTTTCTTGCACCCCTGTATGCAACATACAAGGAGGTGAGCTGCCTTGTGGCTTTTGTCCTGCCCATTGTAGTATTTGGCCCATTTCTTTGCATGATGTATATAGGGTTCACTACTATCTGTGATTTCAGGCATTTGTGATAATCGTGGAATGGATCTCCCGTGGATATGGGAGCCCTACTATATCCAAGATGGCCTCCCTCATACAAAAGGTGGAGGTGATATGAGCACTCTCAGGGGAATCACAATGTTTACAGAAGGGTAAAAAAATACTTAGGGAAGGGAAGAAACGGTAAAGGAGAGTCCTCTCCTTCCAGCTCAATGAGACACTATGCTCAGTGGTCATGGAATGCTGTTGAATGGGAAATGAAAAAACTTGTTGGAGGAGAGATGGAATAACATTTTCATGGGAAGGGAAAGGTTTGCTTACCACGGGTGGAATCCACTGACTTGGCGCTTGTCACAGAAGCGGTCTCAAATGAGCTGCAAAGAGATGGTAGCTGTAATATGTTGCATTATTTTGCCAGAATCAGAGCTCTTCCAGACAGAAGACTTATTCTTCCTGAAGTACTGGGTTCTGCACCAAAATTATTGGCATTTCCCCAATACTCATAGGATGGATCTCTCATCTTGATTTGATGATTGCTTCCCCCCCATTACTTTCTGCTCTTTATCCCTTTTGCTGTTTATGCCTGTGGTGAGAGCTCCAGTCAGAAGCTCTCAGTTAGCACACTCTCTTGTTCTATCACTCAAAAACCAAACTAAAAACTAAAAACTACATCTTAACAGAGACATCCCAGCAGGAAACTGTATTTCTTCAAGATTTCTTTCAAGAGAAGTAGTTTTCTGAAAAAGGAAAGCAGCATGTTTAAGGGGAAGTTTACATGCCCTTCACAACAAAAAAAGCTAGAAGAAGTGGTAGAAGTTTTGTTTTTTTCTGGGAAAGCTCCCAGGTTAAGCAAAGGAAGACTTGCTTCAATGTTGTAGAGAACAGACACCCCAGTGAGGGTGCAACTACACAGCAAGATGAATGCAAACTGCCCCACTGTAAAATTGCATCTTGACGATCAGGTTTCCCCAAGTAAATTCACCTTAATTGGCCACACACACAGAGAGAAGGAAATTGACAAGCAGACTTGTTTGCAGCTTGTTAATGTAGCTCTCCTATAGTACTCCTTATTTGCTGGAGGCAGAGCTACAGGAGAACTATCTTAATAAGGTGCAAACAAGGGCTGAGTGGCAATTTCCTCCTTTGTCTTATTCTCTCTCTCTCTGTGTGTGTGTGTGTGTACTTGGGTAGGTGGGTGAGTGTTTGTGTTCCCTAGTGTAATAGCACTTACACCTTTAAAGAGGTGGGAGAAAAGAATGACATTACTTACAAAGATCCACTCCTCTCAGTGTTTTGCACTGTCCCCATCCCACTGCACCACCGCACCTGCCACCAGCATGCCTACACACGTTTTTCTGTGCTGGTTCAAGTGATCACACCATCTGAATCTATGTGGATAGATCCAATGTCCAAAAAAGTGGAAACCCCAGTGGTGCAGAAAAAAACTAGGGAATGGGGGGTAAACTCCAGGCTGATTTGCTTTGACTTTTACATTTTATCATCAACAGAAATATAGTATGAATCCGACCATCCCAGTCATGTTGCATGTCCCACATTATATGTTGATGTAGTCTTACTAGCTACATCTAACCAACTACAACTAACTTAGGTATTTCATTAATTTTTGGTGGTTCTCGTACCCAATCTCGCCATCTAGTAGCCGGCGATAAGTCTCAATCTCCATCTCCAGGTGGGCCTTAATATCCATAAGCTGCTGGTATTCCATATTTTGTCTTTCCATGTCTGCTCGGACCTGGTAGAGCTGCGATTCCAAATTTCCAATCTGAAGCTGCATTTGGGAGAGCTGGGTACAGTAGCCAGCTTCGGTCTCTGCCAGGGTGTCTTCCAGAGACTTTTTCTGTATTTAAAAAAGAAAAAGAGGAATGAATGAAAAACAGAAATTAAAGAGTGTGAGACATTTCCAGAGGAGATGGTCAAAAGCTGAGAAGTAGCTGGTGAAAGGAAAATGCTTAACCCCTTCCTTGCTTGCTCTTTCGCTTCTCCAAATGCTTCTCCCTACAAACAAGCATGAAATCTTGCAGGGGTAAAACCTTTGGGTGCACACTTTTTGGGTCTGCTTTGAGGAAGCTGAGAAAATGGTATCCTAGTCCTGAATTAAGAGTTCAGTTCAGTATTTGTCAGGTTCTTTTAGGCTCACATCTGGATTGAATGTAAGTCTTTTGTGAAGTGGCTTGTCTTGAATACCTTGAAGATCTGAGATTTCACTGATGCAAGTAGACCTTCAACCCAGGAATTATGCCAGCCATGGCATTTGCATATAGGTAATTCTCCCATAGGCATTAATGGGAGAGAAATGCCCCATCTGTTCTGGTGGTACAAGCCAACTGTGGCAAACTCTACACTACCCCTTCCACCACTAGACCTTGTAGAATTGCTCTGTAAGTGTTAAAAAACTCTTGGATCCCAATGTCTGGTCATCATACCATAGCAAGTTGAGATTGCAGCTCTATCTCCAGGCTTTGCAAAGTACGTCTCAGGTCTGTGACTTCACTTTTTCCAGACTGAAGTTGCTCGGTGTGTGTAGAAATCTCTCTCTTCAGTTCCCCGCTCTGGAATAACACATATTGGGGTGCGTGAATAAAAAAAATGCACTCCACCTCCAAGCAATGTTTAAAGCATTTTATTTGAGTCCTTTATTCATCACTAGATTTACCTTCTCGTTGAACCAGGCTTCCGCCTCTTTCCGATGTTCTTCGGCAATGGCCTCGTACTGCGCTCTCATGTCATTCAGAAGTTTGCTCAGATCAACTCCCGGGGCAGCATCCATCTCCACACTGATCTGCCCAGCGGCACTGCTTTGGAATCCAAGGAGTTCCTGTGAAGGGAATGGAAAGGAAAGGAAGGGAAGACAACCCCCCACCCCAGTCATTAGCTGAGCTGGGAAGTTGCCCTCTGATTCTACAACTCCCAGCTAGTATGGCAATGGCTGGTCATTGGTATACTCAGAACAAATATACTAACATTATATTTAAAGAAATCGTTCAAATGTAGTTTGATTTTGATAGTATATGTAGGATTCGGAAACTTTTCCATTATGAAATTTTTAATCTTCTGGAAGCTATGTATATCACTATTCCCACAATGTGTGACAATATATGGAGAAAGAGATGTGTAGTTCTTCAAACGCTTGGTTGAACATGGAGGCTGAAGCTATGGATGAGTGATATTTTTGTTCTGATAAGAATTTCCCACTGTTTGCAAAATTTGGGAATGAAATCAATTGAGAGCAAAGATAAGCAACTCATCTTTAACAACTTAATGGCAGAGTAGTACAACACAGTCTTCTCCTTGCCAGGAATGGGAATTTGATCAGTGAGATTTTGGTTTTCACTGTTTTGATAAGACTGTCTCTCTCTCTCTCTCTCTCTCTCTCTCTCTCTCTCTCTCTCTCTCTCTCTCACACACACACACACACACACACACACACACACACACACACACACACACACACTCTTTCCTTCACATGGGTGTGAAGGAAGCTTAGAACCAAAACAATAGGAGAGCTGCTACTACACTAATCAGGTCCTTAAATTACTCTCACTCACTCTCCCTCTCAGCTTCCTTCACATGGGTGAAGCTACTACACTAATCAGGTCCTTAAATTACAATCTCCACTTTTGAACAACTTAGGTCTCTTGAGAAAATTATACTGTAGTTGATGAAGGAACTAAAGTAATTGATATAAAATGCTGCCTACTTCCTCATGGTTCTTCTTGAGGTATGCCAGTTCCTCATTCAGACTTTCAATCTGCATCTCCAAGTCAGCTCTGGTCAACGTGAGCTCATCCAGGACTCTACGCAAGCCATTAATATCAGCTTCCACACTCTGGCGAAGAGCCACCTCGTTCTCAAACCTAAGAAGGAATCAGATGTGGAGCCTCTAACGCAAATCAGCATCTTTGCTTCATGACACACCCTTTTCCCTACTAAATACACTTCTTCATACAAAAGAAAATCTGGAGGATGGAGCTTTCGTTCACCGTGTTGCCCATCCTGCATCTAATGTTTCAAAATGTTCCTGCTGTAACATTTCTGATATGGACAAGAATGCCAATTTCAATTCATATATGAATTCCCAGAGCTTGATAATGTTGCCACCTAACTTTCCACCATGTTCAGCATCTAGATCTCCTCCACCATCGCCACCCAACTTGAACAGAGACCTATTACCAAATCCACCTGCAAAACTACAAGAACTGCTGGATTTAGACATCTGAACAGAATCTCCACCAAATTTGCTGTAGGAAAAGAACAGATGGAACTCCATTCATGCTCAGATGAAGAGAGAAATGGTGCATAAAATTTTATTTGCAGACCAAAAAGTAATGTTACCAAGCTCTGTGAACTATGCAGATCTATTTATCCACTCTTGTTTTATTCGCTTAATTTGTTAATACCTCTGCCTGTTTGTGGGGTCCCTCTCTATAGTTTCATGTTTATGAAATACAGTTCATCTAAAACTGAATCTTGGTTTTAATTTTCAAATTCTTTGTCTGGCCCTCCCTTGCTTCCCTTTTTCTTTGCCATCTGTATTCAGTTTTTATTTCTACAAAGCTTTAAGATATCTGTGTAGGTTAGAAGTTATCTGTTCCTTTCATCAAACAGCTGTACTTACTTCAGCCTGAAATCATCGGCTGCCAGTCTTGCATTGTCAATTTGAAGAACTATCCGGGCATTTTCAATCATTGCACTGATGATCTGGAAAACAAGACTATTCCTAGAAAATGCATCTCATCTTTTCTCATAACTGTTTACAAGTCCTAGTGCTATCTTAGCAAAACTGAAGCCAACGCCCTTCACCAGTCCTCAGAGTCTGTGTGCTAGCTGTGTGCTTTTACATGCACCAGATCTCATGCTAAACAGCCCATTTTGGTTTAAGTTGCATGTGACATTAGTAGAAAGCCGTTCTATTGAATTAACAAAAGTAATGCTGGTATGTGAAATCTGAGTTTACTGTGAAATATTTTTCACACTATGCACATTAAAAAGTTCTTTCCATAAATGGAAACAAAAATGATTCAATTGGACTAGGTTCACTTGCATTTAAATTGCCCAGTGCAATGAGTCTATGGCTGAGGTATAACTTGATGTGAATTCCCCACTGTCCATTGTATCTGACAACTGGATGATTAATGGAATTTCTTTTTATAAAGGTGTGGTTTGCTCATGACCACTGATGAGGTCTTATCTAACTAGTAAAACATATGCCTTAAGGTAGAGGAGCTACTAAATGGCTCAGTGACTTAGGTATCTGGCTGTGGAGCCTGAGACTGAGAGTTCAATTCCTCATTATGCCTCCTGTGAGTAGGGCCAGCCTTGGGCAATCAGCAGAGTCTCAGGATGTCCCAGAAGAAGGGAATGGTAAACCAGTTCTGAGTATTCACTGTCTGAAAATACTGGAAAGGGTTGCCATTTATCAAAATTGACATTATGGCACATGACTATTACTATTTAAGGTGGAACGAGCAAAAAGTGGCCTGGGGTGTGTGTATCACATTTTTGCAGCCCCCAGTGCTTCCAGTCTTTTTCCAGCAAAAAAGGGGTAAATTGCAGTTACTGAAAGCCCCCAGGGTAAATCACATGCTCCACTGCATTATTTAACACTCCCCCAATACCCATTTTTCAAAAGCGGAAGTGGACTTCTCGTTATTTCCAGCTTCATTTTTTAGTATTTCTTGGTTGTTTGTGTAGTTCTTTGTTTAGGGAGGAGGAAAACGGCTCCTGGATCTGTTAGGATCACCCATACCCACTAAGAAATTATTTCATAGAAATTACTGTAAAAATATCAGCAATTAATGAGCCTGTTCAGCATGGAAGCCATGACATTTCAATTTAGCATGGATATCATAATATTTTTCCCCTAGATATTGTCAAGAATAGCTCCATTAATAAAGAAGTGCAGTGATCTCATGATGGCTTACCTTATTCCTGAGATCTTCAATAAATGGGTAGTATTTACTGTAATCTTGGCCAGTCCCCGGACCACCAGCCCCTGGTCCATTTTTCTCATACCATTCACGGATCTTGCGCTCAAGCTCTGTGTTGGCTTCTTCCAACGAACGCACCCTGTCCAGGTAGGCGGCTAGGCGGTCATTCAAGTTCTGCATGGTTTCCTTTTCAGTGCCTACTAAAAAGGCACCTTCTCCTCCCCCACCAGCCCCATAGCCAATTCCCAAACCCCCACCTGAACCCCCACCAAATCCCCCTCCTAATCCTCCACCTGAACCCCCACTAAATCCACCTCCTAATCCTCCACCGAAGCCCCCACTAAATCCACCTCCTAATCCTCCACCTGAACCCCCACTAAATCCACCTCCTAACCCACCACCGAAGCCACCACCTAACCCTCCACCGTACCCAAGGCCTAAACCACCACCGTATCCACCACCACCACTGCCACCAAAGTTGAGCAGAGATCCGCCACCAAATCCACCCGCAAAACTTCCTGCACTGCCGGTATTGGAGAGCCGGACAGAACCTCCACCGTATCCACTACGGGAAGAGAACTGGCGGGGCCCGGCTGATGCGCGGATGGAGAGAGCCATGGTGTATTGAAGAGATCTCAGTTGGAACCTACTCCGGTGAGAGGGTGAAGCAAAATGGCCTTGTTGTATGTTTTGGCTTTATATATGAAACAAAGGGAGCATTTGACTGTGGCAATCCACGCCTCCTTAGGAAACATACTTTCATCTTTCTGCCCATTTAACTACTTCCTCAGTGAACTGATGTGCGCAAAAAATGCCCACCCCAAATTGTCTATTGGTGTGGAAACACTGTGCCTTCCAGGTATTTGTTCTGCTAACAGGAGCAAATTGGGTGGAGAAGAGATAAACTCTGAAATAATCCACCCTCTGCAATTGGGGTGGAGATCTTTTGAAAATCTGTCTTCCTTTCAGTTTGTGGAATAATTTATGTTCATTTCTTTTGCCTATATCTATGTCTATCTGTCCCTCACTTTATTTCATCGTAAGTACTTCTTTCCCCTTTTTTTCTGTCTGTCTGTCTGTCTGTCTGTCTGTCTGTCTGTCTATGAATGAATGGCATCTGAAACAAAGTGCTGCACTTTGGAGCAATTATATTTAGAATTCCAGACAGCCCTTTTCAGGATATTCTATTCCATTCTCCCCCTCTTTCACATTGTTTGTGGGTTTTTCAGGCTCTTTGGCCGCGTTCTGAAGGTTGTTCTTCCTAATGTTTTGCCAGTCTCTGTACACCAGAGCACAGAGTGCTGTCCTCTGAAGATACCGCGGTGCCACAGAGACTGGCGAAACATAAGAAGAACAACCTTCAGAACATGGCCAAAGAGCCCGAAAAACCCACAACAACCATTAGATCCGTGAAAGCCTTCGCGAATATAATTTGTGCTTGCTCAGTTTTCATTGGGCTGTTTGGAATAGGAAAGTTAATAGATGGCATTATATTCTGTTGATGCATTGTAGAATTGCATTAGCTTTTTTTTGCTGCTGCATCACACTATTGGTGCATGTTTAGTTTGTAGTCCATGAAGAACCCTAGATGCTTTATCTATCTGTCTGTCTGTCTGTCTGTCTGTCTGTCTGTCTGTCTGTCTGTCTGTCTATCTATCTATCTATCTATCTATCTATCTATCTATCTATCTATCTATCTATCTATCTATCTATCCAATAAATATATTAAATATAAATAATTTCTATTTGTGCACTTGATCTTTTCTACCTGTAGAAGTTTGCATTTCCAACTCTTTGCACTTATTCCTGTTGAAATATGTTTGGGACCAGTTGCCCAAGCTGTTTAAGGTCATTTTGAAACCTAATTCTGTCTTCTGAGATATTATTTATCCCTCCAGCTTGATGTCATTTGTAAATCTGGTGAGCATCCCCCTCATCCAAGCTCATTATAAGATGTTGAAATGTTAAAAATGCAGAAAACTGAAAATATAGTATTCTTATCTATTCTAATCAATGGGGAAACATGAAAAAATTAGAAAAATGGAGGCAGAAATATGTACATTGGGAAAACCAGGCAAATAAAATGTATATGAAGCTTCATACAAGGTTCACGAATAAAGTTTTGCAACCCGATTAAAACAATAGGAGATACAGTATAACAATACAGACCGAGGCCTCTGTCCAATGACATCATTATGCTGGTACAAGATCCACTGCACTAGAAATGGCAAATCGTCAGCATTAATGCAGTGGTGATACCGCATAAAGTTTTTAACATGGCAGCAATTGCTAATTGGTTGAACAACCTCTCGAATAACTGGTTGCCCAAGAACTTGTACAAGAGGTCCAAGATGTTTTTACATTCCTAGCAGTAGAGCAAGCTGGTGAAACATGTAAGAAGAGATCATCAGGAGAGGCCTTTCCCTTGCTCCTACCACCTTCATAGGTGCGCTTGGTGGGAACATGGGGGAGTGACTTTTCTGCTGCTGCTCCCAGACTTTGGAACTCCCTTTCACAAGAGGCCAGGCTGGCCCATTTTTACTGTCCTTCCACAAGCTGGCAAAGACCTTTCTTTTCAGGCAAGCTTTCCCTGAGCGACTGGCTGCTTGAGTGGGTTCCTAAATGTATTGCTGTACTTTACTGCTTTAAATGTTTTGATGTTACTTTTGTCTTCTGTTTTTAGTGCAATATTGGTTTTATCCTTTCAGTATGTGCACTCATTGTTATTAGCCTTACATGCTGGCTTTTAATGATGTAAACCTCCTTGGGTCCTTTTGAAGAAGAAAGACAGAGCGAAAATATTTTAAATACAAAAATAAATAAGATGTAGAATGAAAGATGAACTGCTAGGCTGCTCATGATGGCAGTTTCAGAAGTTGTTTCCATATAAAGATGAACATTGAAGAGCTTGTGCTAAATTATCTTGCAGAAATAATTTTATCCCCAAATAATCTGAGAGCTTGGAAATACTACTTTTTGACTACAGCCCCCAGTATCCCCAGCCACTGCAGTAGATCTCATTGGCTGGGGATTCTGGGAGTTGTAGTTACCTTTCTGAAGCTCAGATACGATGCAATCTTTACACAAATATAGCGACACATGACATCAACCAAAGTAACAGCATGCTATGCTTCTTATTTGGAACAAAGATGTGGAGAATAAATATTAGATTTTATTTTCTTAGTCTGAGCGCAAGAGGCTTTGAACCCTATATGTTAATGCTATAATGATTTCAGCAGACAGATAGCATTTTCTGTTGTGTACTTTGCTTTTGCTTATCTTCTTGAGGGTGTCATCTTTACAATAGATCCAAGCCCTCCCAGTAATGGGTGTGGATTTTGACAGTGATTTCCTCTGAATAGTGGTGGTGTAACAAACTGACGGATCTGAAGGAGATACCTCCCCCTCCCTCTTCTCTTTCATAGAACTGAATACAGTACTGTACGTGACTCATGGCTGTGTAATGGAGCGTTGCTTACTTTAGCTTCTTTACCTTACAGATCAAGTGTATGAAAATGGTTACAGGGAGGTCCTCAATAGTCAATTTTGTATATTCACATTTTGTTTTGTTGAGAGAGAAACCGGTGTCCTATCTTGAAGAATTGTTATTTTCTTGAGAATGTAATGAGAAGTAAGCCACAAGATATGACACACAGGTGAGGAAGAGACACCTAAAACACAAGTCTCCAATTTGTACACAATTTGGGGATACAAATGAAATTCCTCAAGTTACTGTTCCCCAACTGTTCATTCGGAGCACTATTCCGGCACTGCCCGTAGTGTTTCTGTTTTTCCATGGTCAAGTTGGTCAGCTGGACTGAAGGGTAACACGTACAGTACGGGTACAGCAAATAGCCAAAAACAAGTAACATAATCCTCCCAACCAGCACAATCCATTGTTCATGCTGCCTCTGTGTGTGTGTGTGTGTGTGTTGCAAATAGCCAAAAGCAAGTAACAGAATCCTCCCAACCAGCATAATCCATTGTTCATGCTGCCTGTGTGTGTGTTTGTGTGTGTGTGTGTGAATTTTAACAATGTGTGTGTGAATTTTAAAAATGTGTGTGTTTGTGTGTGTGTGAATTTTAAAAATAATGACTTCCTGCAGCATACTTTATACATATTCCTTGTTTAAAGGTCAATAACAGGGAAATTGGTCTTTGTTTCTAGGTAAATAAGACTGCAAAACTAATAAATGTACAAGCTGTGTTGTCTTCTTCCTATGACTAAAGCACAGGATGAAAAGGAAAAAGAGATACTGTTGTTAAGTTGTTCACTCTTTGTCCATGTTTTGAAGGTTACTGAAAGTAACCCCGAGGGACTCTAGAAGCAGCAAGTTTAAGTGTAGTACAAAGCTGACCCTTCTGTGTGCAGATGCTTTCATATATGGCAGAAGAATTGCTCTCATTGCAAATAATGGCTAACCAGAAAGACTAGCAAGCATGCATAGTCTCTTGCATGTCGCAAGCATAAGCTGGGTGTTAGAAACCTTTACAGTTACCAATGAAACATAAAGCATGTTTCTAATCCTAATAGTTGCAAATATGTCTAGGCTCTTAAATGTTAGGAGATTTCTATACTTTGTACAGATTATTACTGCCCTCTGTCTTTGTCCCATAGTCCCAATTCCTTTGTTACTTACCTGTCCATTGTCTCCAGTACAGTGGGGTCTTGACTTGAGAACTTAATCCGTATTGGAAGGCGGTTCTCAAGTCAAAAAGTTCTCAAGTCAAATCTGCATTTCCCATAGGAATGCATTGAAAACCATTTGATCCGTATCTGCTCTTTTCCATCCATAGAAACGAATGGGAAGCTGCTATTCTGCCTTCGACCACTAGAGGGGGATATTTTGTTTCTTTTTTCCTTAGGTTAAGAAAGGTTCAGGGAAGGCAGGGAAAATGCAGTCCAGGCAGTACCAGGCAGTCTGAAGACTGTCTCCCAATCCACTCTCTAAATGGTGGGAGGAGTGAGGAAGCAGACAGGCACCCTTTTCACTGGCCAACAGTTAACTGAAAATTCACATTTTGCACTTTCCCTGCCTCCCACGTGGGTTTTTTTCAGTTCTTAACTCAAATCTAAGTACTTAAGTCAAGTCAATATTTTCCTATGAGAGTTATTACTGCCCTCTGTCTTTGTCCCATAGTCCCAATTCCTTTGTTTCTTACCTGTCCATTGTCTCCAGTACCTTAAACAGCTAGGGCTCTATGTACCTATCATGAAACAGAGGGAGGTACTCCCCAAGAAAGAACTTGTGGATGTCATTGAAGAAAAGCAGAATGTTAGTTATTTAATTTATTATAATTTTATTGTCAAGGAGGAAATTTTCTACCTCGTGTGTTAGATTAACATGGCTGCCTTTAAGTAGCTATGTGCCTTGGTCAAGGTGCTGTTTGCTGCCCTGTCTCAGATTCATGCTCCTTCACATACAACCCATTTCTCATTTTCTTCCCCCAAGTTAAGCAGAAGCAAGGTCTGAAGATTAAGTATATTTAGGAATGTATCCCTGAGATAAGATTTAAGCATTAGCAGTTTGTCCCAGGGTTTTTTTCTTTAGAAACTAGAATTAGTGCAATTGTAGATTGTCAACTTGAATAAGAAGATAGGATCGAACAAGTATGCTATGTATTCATTCATGATTCATGGAAGCAAGGTCTGAAGATTAAGTATATTTAGGAATGTATCCCTGAGATGAGATTTAAGCATTAGCAGTTTGTCCCAGGGTTTTTTTTCTTTAGAAACTAGAATTAGTGCAATTGTAGATTGTCAACTTGAATAAGAAGATAGGATCGAACAAGTATGCTATGTATTCATTCATGATTCATGGAAAAGAAAGCAAGAGAACTATGTGATAGGTTCAAAATCTAATTTAAATATGGATCATTGAGTGCCATGTTAGTCAGTTGTCAGCTTAATGCCAAAGCGTTTTGCATAGATGCATTAGAAATTCTCACAGTTTTCTTATTTCTCCATCCACCTCTCTGCTTGTGGGCACAGATCACGCAGAAGAGTTGCATGGTATGCTATAATGATTTCAGCAGATAGATAGCACATTCAGCTCTGTACTGTACAGTGCTGGTGTTGGGAGACCAGTAATAGCATCAGAACTGTCCTTCTTGAGTCCCTCTGTTTTTTCAGTGTGAGGTTATTGCATTTATTTATTTAAAATATAGCAAATCATAGTGAAAGCTATTGGGCTGCATCTAGACTGAGTACAAAGCTTCATTTTTGAAATTAGATTATTTTTGTTATGAAGGACATAAAATGCAGGTCAACCCACAATTGGCTAGATCTTCTGTTCCCTCTCATTAACGCTGGATGAAACCACTTTCCCGTCCACCATCTCTTCAACCACAGTCTTGATCCTCCGAACTCTGTTCTTTTCTGGAAATAAAGATACACATTATAGATAGGGCAACATGGGCAGATGAACTAGTGCAATCATTTCTCTTACTTGTGCATAAAGTCCATAGTGACATCCCTGGTATATAAGGTTTGGATTTAGATTTAATCATAAATAGTTTGGATCTACTGCAAGCAGTTTTGATTGAGTCCTGTTGATTTAGATCACCACAGCATACTGAACACACCTGATCTTGTTTGATTTTGAAAGTTAATTGGATGTGAGCCTGATTAATACTTGCATAGTAGAACACCAGGGATCTCTAGAGAGCCACTGCTGGTCTCTGTGTTGACAGTACTGAGCTAGATGGAGTTATGGTCTGATTCAGTATAAGGCAGCTTCTTCTGCTCCTAAATGGAACATGTTGTATGTATAACTAAGACTGGATACAACTTCCCAAAGAAGAATATTCTGAGATGTCACACTTTCCATCCTCTCCAAGGGGAGGACATGTCATAGTCTGGGGTTGCTATGTAAAATATACATGCAGCCACACAATCCAAGTGCTCTCAGTCTGCATTTATTGGGACATTAATACAGTAATTCAGTAAGTAGGCCCTTGTTATTTTATGGACAGTTGGGTTGGTATTGAGCTTCACTGAAAATGGGATAGATCAGCTTTAGATGGATGGTAAAGAGGTAGGAAGATTGTCCATTTGGCCCCCAAGGTGGCAATAGGTAGAATACTTGTTACACCTAGGGGAGTCCAAGATGAGGCTCTCATGTCCCCAGAGTAGCTGCAGGACAAGATCCCTTGGTCCAGGTAAGCTTCTGCAGGCCCAGTCTTCCATACTTCTGTTGTTGTTGCCAGACTGGGCCCCTGTCCAGGACATTTAATATAAGACCAAGAGCCCAAGGATAGGTCTAGGGAGCTGACCTGTCCCTCACTTAGACTTCTGTGATGTTCTCCTAGGATGGCTGCCAAGCCTAGGGAGTAGGCTGTAAGATTCCAGGATTTAGATCCAGCTGCTGGAGAACTTCTAGGAGAGAGGCTGCCCCATGTTTCATCAGGGAGTGTCTCCTGGGTGCAACAGGTCTCCTTGCTCCCTGAGCCCCGGGAAAGGTCCAAGGCTGTGCCATTACAGCAGAGAAACCTCATCTCTCTCTTACCCTCCAAATGTGTTGGGAAAGGAAGTGCACTCGGGAGAGCCCTTCCTCTTTCCTTCTAGCCTGGCCTCCTCCTTGAGCTACTTTCATGGCTTTGAACCTCCTTCTCTGAACACAAGCCCTGTCCATCTGCTCCAGCAACAGTCCATTGTTGCTGGGCAACTGGTGGTCTCTGTGTCACCCACTGATTCCATCAACCAAGGGTGTCCAAGTAGTAAGTAGTGCTGCTGGAGCTTGGCCAAAGTGCAGGGACCAGCCATGGCAGTCACCCATACCTCACAACGGCAGACAACTGGAAAAGTTGTCCCTCTTGCAAAAATAAAGCAAAACCTTTAAAAATCTCAGTTTGTGTTGTGCGAGACAAATTTGTCTATTACTGCCTTTCAATGAATGGATAGCAACTAGGTTGTTGCTATGAGCAGGTGAATAAATTTCATTTCCTATTTAAGTCAGTTAAAGAAGTAAAACAAATCGATCTATCAATACAGATAAAAAAATAGATTTTTGGAGTAGATGGAGTGGAAATATTTTTCAGTGAAATAACATTTTTAATGGACTGCCCTATGTTGAATCCCTTAGTAGGTAAGGGGGAGGTACATGAAAGAGTGGAAAGGAATATGTTGGGTTTGCAAAACAAATCCATCCATTTCACAATTCACGAGACGGCTTCAGAAAGGTGCCCATTACTGAGGCTTAAACTACATACATACAACAATGAAAACAAACTTAGTCAAGGAGGAACTTTTGTTCCAAGAAAGTGTAAATTAAAGAAATGTATACAAAAATGCTCAAAAACGTGTACCAAAAGATGCACAAAAATATACACGGATTTCCATTTAGGAAAAAAGAAAAGTCCATATGGAACTGAGCCGAAACAAGAGGACTGGAAGGGTGCTGAGAACTGTAATAATAAGAGTGGCAGATCTCCATGTTCCTATGTGAGTGGGTGGGTACTTTACTCATACCTTTCTCATCTTCTTCTCTTCTGGCAATCTCCAGTTCTGAAATCGTTCTGTTTAAAAACAACACACAAAATAGGTACTGTTAATAGTAAAGCTCTGGCTTTTAACAAGCTAGGCATCATCCTTTGTTTCCTACACTTGAGCTCTTTATGTCAAGTTGGGTGGAACGCATCTCATACTTGCTCTTTCAGCAGGCCATTCCTGGTGGCTGTTCCTAAACTGTGAAGCCCGCTTCCAAGGGAGATTAAACGGCCACTTTTCTTTTTTGCCTTTCAATCATCATGCCTATTTTTATTCACGTGGGGCTTTTGGCAACTGACTGGTGGCAGAGAATAGGTCTTTTAATGGATGGGGGTGGATACATTTTTAATGCTTTTATATTGTTCTTAGTGCAACTATTTCTTAACAATTGGCTTAATTTCTGGTTTTGTGATTTATACCTGAATATGTTTTAATTTTCTGAGCCAGCCTGAATTCCTGTCTTGGGAGAAAGACAGGATATCAGTCAATCTATCCATCAGACAAAAATCATTCATTCGTTCAGTCAGTCAAACTGCCAGTCTGTGGACATGTCCAAATTAGGTACATATGAAGCTGCCATTAGCCAGTTTGCCCCAGTATTATCATCTGTGACTGGCAACAGCCCTCCTGAGTTTCAAGCAGTACTTAGTCCTAGCCCTGGCTGGAGATGCGGAGGATCAAACTGGGAACCTTCTGCATGTGAAGTATGTGCTTTGTCATTGAGCTTTGGCTCATCACCGTAGCAAGTACAATGTCTCTAGTCAAATGCTTACCTGCTGTCTTCCCCTTCCAGCAGACGGCGGTAAGTGTTAATCTCTGCCTCAAGCTTGACCTTGATGTCCAAAAGGCTGTTGTACTCCTGACTCTGCCGCTCCATGTCACTTCGCAGCTGCATCAGTTGTGCTTCCACATTCCCAATGTTGGCCTGGATTTGGGCTATGATGGTGCCATAACGGGCTTCAACCTCTGCCAAAGCATTTTCTCGATCCGCTTTCTACAATAAGAGATCAAATATGGGCTCAATCAGATGGGAATTTGTCCCATTGTTTGGTGTGCTGTGGGGATGGGTTGATTCACTCTTTTTTATGGTGGACCACATAGTTGCTATAAAGGTAAAGGTAAAGGTTCCCCTTGACAATTTTTGTCCAGTCGTGTTCGACTCTAGGGGGCAGTGCTCATCCCCGTTTCTAAGCCATAGAGCCAGCGTTTTTGTCCGAAGACAATCTTCCGTGGTCACATGGCCAGTGCGACGGTTCATTCTTTTTCTATGGTGGACCACATAGTCGCTATCGCGATGTTTAATGTGTAAACCACCCAGAGTGGCCTTGGCAGCCAGATGGGCAGTATATAAGTCAAACAAACAAACAAACAAATCAATCTGTCCCTGGAGTATCCCTTTTTGAGCCCCTCTCAGAGGCTTCTGCTTGTTTGGATGAGGTAGATATGCTCTAGTTTGGCCCGTTTCCGGTGAGTGTGTGTGATTTCCAGGAATGAATCAAAATTGAGCCTTGCAGTTGTCAAAGCTGCCAAGGTTTCTTCTGCTGTCAATTACTGACATCATCAAGTCGCTTAATAAATGAGGCACTTCAAGATATCTGTAAATTTAACATCTACTCTTCTGTGGAAGGGCAGGGGAAGCGAAAGTATTATTTTTGCCTCTGTTAGACCATTGCTGATGTGCTGTATCAGATTTATTTTTTAAAAAATATTTTATTTGCCTTGTGTGTAGCACTGCTTGTGAAACTGCCTGCAGCTGCAGTTTCAATTAGCACTTCTCAGAAGGCAAATAAAATATTTTTTCAATTTAATCTAAGTGATACAGCAAATCAGTTATGCTATAGCAGAGTGATTTCCAGAATCAAAATTGAGCCTTGCAGTTGTCAAAGCTGCCAAGGTTTCTTCTGCTGTCAATTACTGACATCATCAAGTTGCTTAATAAACGAGGCACTTCAAGATATCTGTAAATTGAACATCTACTCCTCTGTGGAAGGGCAGGGGAAGCGAAAGTATTATTTTTGCCTCTGTTAGACCATTGCTGATGTGCTGTATCATTTAAATTAAATTTTAAAAGTGTTCTTTCCCTTTGTGTGAAGTGCCAGTCCCTGGATTATCCCTTTTTGAGCCCCTCTCAGAGGCTTCTGCTTGTTTGGTTAAGGTAGATTTACTCTAGTTTGGCCTGTTTCCGGTGTGGGTGTGATTTCCAGGAATGGATCAAAATTGAGCCTTGCAGTTGTCAAAGCTGCCAAGGCTTCTTCTGCTGTCAATTACTGACATCATCAAGTCGCTTAATAAATGAGGCACTTCAAGATATCTGTAAATTGAACATCTACTCCTCTGTGGAAGGGCAGGGGAAGCGAAAGTATTATTTTTGCCTCTGTTAGACCATTGCTGATGTGCTGTATCAGATTTATTTTTTAAAAAATATTTTATTTGCCTTGTGTGTAGCACTGCTTGTGAAACTGCCTGCAGCTGCAGTTTCGATTAGTACTTCTCAGAAGGCAAATAAAATATTTTTTCAATTTAATCTAAGTGATACAGCAAATCAGTTATGCTATAGCAGAGGCAAAAAATAATAATGTTAACTTCAGTCCACTTAACCCTCTTCAGGAGAGTAGGGGACTTGTTCAGTTTACCAATATCCTGAAATGGCTCACTTCTTAAGCTGCTTCATGATACCAGAAATTGACAGTGGAAGAAGCTGGACTAAATGGGATTGCTTAAGGTCCATATGCCACTTGGATGCAAGGATGGCATATTGCACCTCTACCTGACTTCAAATGACCCTATTTGGACCGCACGGGCCCTCTCCAAAAGGACCAATGTAGATATGCCCTGTGTTGTTCAAGACAATTTAGTAGGATATTGAAAGAAGATGTTTGTCAGTAGCTGTCAGAGTGAACAGTTCCAGTTTTTCTCTTAACATTGATCATTATTATACTGATCTTGTGATGCTGGGAACTGGTATTAATTTACCAATTTAAAATTGAGAACTGGGATTTGGAGAGCAAGGGAAAGTGCTGCTGAAGTTGCAGCACAGCTTTAGCAGCATAAAGGCAAAGCATGAAATGTGCTGTGCAGTGTGCATGACGCTGGCTGTCAGACTAGGTGGATTTATATTTGCAAAGGTTGATGGAGAAGAACTTTAGAACCTTCCATTGTGTTTATTGCCTTAAGGCTAAAAAGGTTGTGTTATGTAACTTTGTAAAGAAGTTTTTAAAAAGTAGCTGTTGTTACACACCATCAGGTTGCCTTAGACATATGGTAACTGTATGAATGAGGGGAAAAGGGGGGAAAAAATAAGCTATAGACAAATGAAGAAAAAATCAAAAGTAGCTGTAAGCAGCCACAAAAGGTAGGATAAACCTTACTTTTTGAGAAAATCTGCCTCAATCTGTAAATGATAAATCATTTTAATCATTTTATTAAGAAGCTCTTCCCATATATGTTTACTGAATGTCACAATTTCATCCTGTTGCAATGTATCTCCCTGCCCCAACTCCACTCTAGCTTACTTCTGCCTCTTTTTGTCGCCAGTTGGGGCAAGCTTTATGATCCCTGACTGAAGGCTATGGAATTTCAATTTTGAATCCTCCATTCAGGTTACAGGAATGCTTGTCTGTGCCAATACTACAGTGTGTTATATAAATCATCCCAAATCTAGGATGGATCAGCATTGGATAAGTTTGTGGGGAGGACTGCCCTTGGGAGGAGTTTCTAGAGATCAATAGACAAGGCACCCAATAATTATTTAATTAAACACACTGTAATTTCTTGCTGTAGTTAAGCAGTCAGGTTTTACCAAGCTGAGCTGGGTTTGGAGTTCGATCTCAAAGTTTTGGAGTGTGCGCCTCCGGTCTGTGACCTCACTTTTATGGCTCTCAAGCTGTTGGGTAGTGGTGGTCACTTGCACGTTCCATTCTTCAACCTGAGATATAAAGAAGGCAAGAATGATTTCAATAAATAGAAACACATTGAGCTGGAGTTAAGTCTGCACTGTTCGGCTAGACAGACAGATTAAAAACTTCCAATTGACTAAAAAGATTTTCTTAACATCAGTATGACCTGCTTTTCCCTGCCTGCCCATTCCCAACGTAAAGGGCTCGGGTAAATGAACAATATTCATCAGAATAATAAACATCACCTGCTTATCAAACCGCTCTTTGGCCTCTTGACGATTCTTTTCAGCCATGACTTCATATTGCTGGCGCATGTTGTCCATAATCTGGGCTAGATCAATGCCTGGAGCAGCATCCACTTCTACAGAGACAGTCCCGCCTAGCTGCTTCCGCAACACTTCCATTTCCTGCAAACATTCATGAGAATCAGCATTCTCAGTTGATTAATTTACAAACCTATTGAAGGAATGCATTAATTTGTTTGAGCTTTGCATATTCTAGTTGAGTGGCTAGTTAAGTGAAATGACTTATAATTTGTAACAAGGCCTTCCCCACCATAGTACAGTGGTGCCTCGCAAGACGAATGCCTCGTGCCATGAAAAGCTCGTCAAACGAAAGCGTTTTGTGATGTCCTAGGCGCTTCACAAGACGGTTTTTCCTATGGCCGTGCTTCGCATGACGATTTTTTTCATCTTGCATTGATGCTTCGCAAGATGAAAAAATGGCATTCTTCTTGCGAGGCGCTTCACAGGAATGCATTGAAGGCAATTTCAATGAATTCCTATGGGAAACCGTGCTTCGCAAGACAATTGTTTTCGCAATACAAATGGACTCACGGAATGAATTGTTTTCATCTTGTGAGGCACCACTGTAAGACATATTTTATAGAGTTTACTTCTGTATTCTTTTTTTGTGACAGATGAGTGACTTTTCTAAATTTATTAATCTATTAGTTAAAATTGTTTCCAGATAACTTTTTATCCTCTGAGTCAGTGGTTCCCAAACTTTATGGACTTATGGGTTCCCTGAGCGGTGGCAGTGGTGGCAGAGCAAGAGGAGCAGCAAGGGGTGTGGGACAGAGCAGGAAGCAAAGAAGCCTGAAGTAACCAGAACTGGAACTGGAAGAGCAGCAGCAGCAACACCGCCACCACTGGCTGACTGCAAAAAAACAAAAAGGAAACTTCCACGTTGTTCCCAGCTGGCTGGCTGGTGCACCAGGGAGTCCCGGAGGGCAGCAAGGGCCACGGGGTGCTATGTCGTACACCTTGGGAACCTCTGCTCTAAGATAATAAGGTTGTTTATAAGATGACATCAACATCAGAAAAACAGTAAGACATACAACACGTCCATCCATGTCCAGAACTGTTTATATGAATAGGTACATTTTTTTTACTAACTGTGGTTTGAATTTACAGAGCCACTATTTCTGTTTGTCAAAGACATTGTTTCTCTGCTTCTAAATTCTGCTTTTGTAACTTCCAGTATTCAAGTGAAATATCTGCAGAGCACAATTTCCCCACCTGACCTGGTAGGGAAAATACTTTAAAAAGTCTTGCAGTACAATACCAATTTCTGTGTTTGTTTAACTGACTCTCCTGGTGCTGTTTAAAGCAGATCACTTTGACCTGCTGCCTGGTAGTGCCAGCTCTGGTTAGTCCACATGGATGTATTCAGGGTAACTTTTTCAGGTGGGAGTCTATTGAACCGTTCTGCACCTGCATCTGCAGAATACCCTGCAGCCAAGAATATTCATAACCCTTTAATTCAAAATCGGATACTCTCTTACCTCCTCATGGTTTTTCGTAAGGTAAGCCATTTCTTCCTTCAGCCCTTCAATCTGATGCTCCAAATCAGACTTAACCAGTGTTAACTCGTCAATTAGCTTCATCAACCCCTGCATGTCATGCTCCACATTTTGCCTCAGTGCCAGCTCAGTCTCATACCTATTCAAAATTTAAAAGTACAGATCAGCTGCCTTCTATTAGCAAGTCGGTGGAACATAATCAGTTCCTCAGCAATAACAACTGATTTCTTCATGCCAAGTTATTCCTAAATTCCATCTTTATGTAGTTCTCATCTATACCTCTAGATGCAGTCGCAGACTTCCTCCCTGTCCCACCTCCACATTTGTTCTGTATTCACTTTTGCCTTTTACAAAAAGAAGATGGAATCTGTTGCTTTTTAAAATTTTTATTTTAAAAAATCTCAGCATTTTTGTGCAAATACTATATTGCAAACATTGCTTGGATATATCCCCACTTCATCTAAGGCATGTTTGAGAGGTGGTTGTGAGAGAAGATTAATCACATATTTCTATCTTCGGAAATAAGTTATACAATATAGCAATATCACTTGGGGGGATGAAAACTCCCCGAATTCCTGTGCCATCTTGAGCAGTGCTTCCCAGCCTTGGTTCTCCAGATGTTCTTGGACTAAAATTCCCAGAAGCTTTTACCATCACCTGTGCTGACCAGGTTTTCTGGAGTTGTAGTCCAAGAATCTCTAGGGAAACACTGAGCCAGAAGATTCTAAAAGCAGTAATCTCAAAAAGCATGGTTTCCATCTTCTGGAGTCCATAGAATCTGGACTATAGTGATTATTAACCTATTGTACAAAGCAGTGGTATAATTGCTTTAAAAAAAAATATTTTAAAAAAATCTCAGCATTTTTGTGCAAATATTATATTGTAAACATTGCTTGAACATATCCCCACTTCAACTAAGGCATGTTTGAGAGGTGGTTATGAGAGAAGATTAATCACATATCACTTTGGTGATCCTACTTTGGGGAATGAAAACTCCAAGAATTCCCGTGCCATCTTGAGCTGTGCTTCCCAGCTTGGGTCTCCAGATGTTCTTGGACTAATTAGGTCTTCTGCTAGTTATTTGGAGATGGGTGGTGATGCTGGTGTGTGCATGGTTGTCAGTTAGCACATTTATTCTGCACATTTCAGAACTACTGGCATTAAAAGTGCAAATGGATGTCATCAGATGGATGTTGACATTGCGCAAAAACAGCTTCTGACAGAAAGGTAAAGGTTCCCCTTGAATTTAGTCCAGTCGTGTCCGACTCTAGGGCATGGTGCTCATCCCCGTTTCCAAGCCATAGAGCCAGAGTTTGTCCGAAGACAGTTTCCGTGGTCACGTGGCCAGCGCGACTAGACACGGAACGCCGTTACCTTCCCACTGAGGCAGTACCTATTTATCTACTTACATTTTTACATGCTTTCGAACTGCTATCTGACAGTACTGCAATTCAACTAAATGAATTCCCTAGCTGTAAAACAATCCCATTTGCTGCAAAATTATCATGGAGGGTTAGAAGAGCTTTAACTCAGTGATTAAGTAGATGCTTTGTAGACAGAATATCCCAAGTTCAAGTTCCATTATCTTCTTGCAAAATACTCTTTTATGAAAGCCCAGGAAATCACTATGAGCTAGGGGACACCAGAGGTGAGCAACATTGATGTGGCCAAATTTCCACATTTTTGTTGCAGCAGACCTGGAAATGCTAGACCCTGATCGCTTCAAGCTATTCCCGTCCTGTTTTTGAGGGATTTTAGATGCCTGTTTCACCTTTGAAGCTTTAGAAATGGCAGAGTTGCAAGGGAGAACCCAGGTAAGCTGTGTTAATTTTTCATGATTTTGTGTGAAATATAATTTGTGTTTACTTTCACACTGAATTTTTATAACTAAATATTATTATATAAATTAATGGATTGCTACATGTATTCATTGCTTTTTATAATACATACTTCATTCGGAAATCATCAGCGGCCAGCTTGGTGTTATCAATCTGCAGAATGATCTGGGTGTTATCTAGTCGTGCTGCGATAATCTGGAAGATGACAATATGTGTAGAAAACTGAAGATTAATCGTTGATCTAGAGATGATAAAACTGAGAAGTTTAGAGGCTGAAAAATCCACTTAATGCGAAGTAAGACGCCAAAACCCAGCATTAAAAACTAGAAGAGCCTACCTAGATGACTCCTGTTTTGTTTCTTGCGGGGGAGGGGAACCCTGGCCTTTTCTGGTCATTTCTGGATATGAGATATGGTGGTTAAACATTTGGCTATGAGATTCTGGAAGCTGTATTTCAAAAAGCTGACTTTTCAAAATGCTTCTGTTCTACCACCTAATTTCATTTTACAGTATTTCAAATGTGCACATATCTTCTTGGATTAGAATTGAAGTTCGAAAATCTGACTTGCCATTTTTAGTACTTTAAGAAGAATTCCCACCTCAGTGAAACTGCCACAAGCATGAATACAGTGGCTGATGTCCACAGGTAATCTTGACCCAAGTTTAGTGTTGTTTTTTTAAAAAAAAATGCAGTCAAATTAATATGAATTTAGAAACTATGATCCATACATGGACTACACCCTTGCACTGCTTCAATAAAAAGGACATCTTAGGTAACAATCTACTACATATTTACCTTTACACGGGTGTAACTTTATGACAGAGATTAGATTAGCTACAGGGTGGTGATAAAAAAAGGGTGGAATGAGTGAGTTACAGGATGTACACGTAAGGCAATTCCCATTTACGTTTGGAATTTTAGAGCAAAGGCATATTCATGCATAGATGCAAATAGATCAATGGATGCATTGACTGTTGTTAGTAATATACATAGCATTTTACACTCTCCAAGGAGTGTCTATCGTACTATTTGTTGCATTTCTGTAGTTCTTCCAACAAGGTCAAGGCAGTGTAAATGACTCTCTTCTCCCCACTATGCCTCACTACTTTGTTTTTAAAAAGTGAACTGATGGCATATATTTTTGCGATACTCTTCAGCCTGGATTCACACATGATCCTGGAATGAGGCTGTATTTACACCAGGTCCCTTGAGCACAACTGAGCTCTTACTTTTTCACTATCAACTAAAAATGGAATAACAACTATGGTTCCACACAGTACTCTTAGTGCTATTTTATCCAGTAATAACCATGCTCTTATTTCAGTAAATTTAATAGCCTGCAGGTACTGTAAAATAGTAACTTCCTCCTTGTAGATTTTGTCATATCTATGGCATAATTCTCATAATTGTAGTTAGATTATTGATATGTAGCCTTATTTTAAATTTTAAATATTAATATCCGCAATTCCACATACTACTTTGGCAAATATTGGTAGATTTTTTCAAAAGGAACCCCCACAAAACTCTGAAAGGAAATTCTCTTGCATGTGTACTAGTTAGAACTGAAGCAATGGGTACAATTACTCCCAGTTTAGAGAGGACCTTGATATATCTGCCTCCTGTGTAGCTGTTAAAAATTAAAATCCTCACAGAAAAAAGAGTTGGTAACCCTAATTCAGAATGTGGTTTAACATACAGTACATTCAAATCCAGAAACATTAGAATAAATACTCTTCCACAGGCTTGAAAGAATTTGGGTCTGGATGAATGAATCTGCCCATTTGGTTTCCCTCACATTCATTTTCTTCAAAACCTCAAGTTCTTTCCACCTCAAATATGAAGAAATTTCTGAATTTGGTAAGTAAACAGAAATGAATTTCTCCGCTATCCCTATGTTTTAACCGACTTGCACAGGTATCAAGTGCATGGTTAAAGTCCTCATAAATCAACCTCTTACCTTGTTTTGGAGGTCTTCAATAGTTTTATAATAATCAGCGTAGTCTTGTTTGACAACAGGGGAGCTCTTCTCGTACCACTCCCGGATCCTCGTTTCAAGATGAGTGTTTGACTTTTCTAAGGAGCGCACCTTTTCCAAGTATGAAGCCAGACGGTCATTCAAATTCTGCATGGTAAGTTTCTCATTATTGGCAAGTAGCAAGTCACTGGTGGAAGTACTGAGTTGAAAACCACTGCCAAATCCACCATAGTTGATGGTGGATTTGGCACCCGTAGAAATACGGGTGCCATAGCCACCAGCTCCTCCGTGAACACTGGGTGCCCGGTATTTCTGGGAGGATGATGTTCTGTAGATTGTGCTACTACTTAGGCTTGGTACTGTAGGCTGGAAAGAAGAACTTGAACTTCTTCGGTAAGTAGCATTAGAGAAAGCCATAGTGACAATTTTTTAAAAAATAAAGTGGCCGAGAAACTAGCACTTCTGCAGATGCTAATGGAGAGAGAATGTTTTACGGGGCAAACTCCACGGACCTTTATATCTGTGTGTTTAAAAAAAAGGTTTGACAGTGTTAAAACTCCACCTCTAGTGACAGAAAGTTAAGGCACTGTTGACACTCTCAATATTTCCTGTATCCTATCACCTGGTAATAAACGAGACCTTTAATCGATACGTCAGCTTACATTATTGAAGTCAACTGAGCTTTGGTCCAAAGTCTGCCAGAGGAATCCGGGTTCCTTTTAGAGCAAAAATATCTTTTGAATGACTTATTGCACAGTTAATTGTTGCTGTGGCCTGTCATGATCTGTAAGTAACACAGCCGCGCCCCTCCTTTTGGAGAAACTATCTGTAGGAAAATCAATATACAGGATGGCTGAAAGTAACTCTCATTCACACAGACAGAAAAAGTCATACAGTGACTTCATTCCTGTTTGACTCCATCCTTAAATGACCAGATCCCTTCTATAGAAACAGAGGTCCGTATCCTCCTGCTAGTCTCAGCTAAAAGTAGGTCCACTAAATCAACTGCTTGAATGGTACGTCAACACTTAACGTCTATCCCAGTGGGGCTAGCAATAGGATATTGATCAGAATCTTCTCTAATAAATCCCATTCTTTATCTATGAATAAAGTAAATGTTTTTTAAAGGGACTTCCACATCCTTGTAGTTTGAGACTACTAAATTTAGTTATCAGATGCATTATTTTTCCATGTTAATGATCCACATTAATGTAATTATAACTGACCAGTGGGTTTTTATGGAAAGGTAATGTAATCCTCTTGTAAACACTAGATCACTGGTTCTTAACCTTGAGTTACTCAGGAGTTTTGGACTGCAACTCCCAGAAGCCTTCACCACCAGCTGTGCTGACTGGGGTTTCTGGGAGGTGCAGTTCAAAAGCATCCAAGTAACAAAGGTTAAGAACCACTGCACTAGATGTTATTTGTGGAGACATTACTGACTAAATATACTAGGACACAAAGTTTTCACTTTCCAAACCATTTCGATTTCAAAGAATTATAGAATTAGAAGGAATCTTTTCGTTCATCCACTCCACCCTCTGCTGCTGTAAGAAATCCACTAATACAGCACAGAAATGGGAAAAGTTATTTTTGGACTATAGTTCTCACCATCCCCTAGTCATCATGTCCAACTACAGTACTGGCTAGAGTATTCTGGGAGCTATGTTCTAAAAATATTGTTTTCCTCATTTTTGCTACAACACTATGATAGATAGCCATCCACTCCCTGTTTAAAAAGAACCAACAAAAAGATAAGGGAAATATTAACTGTTGCTTTCTTTGGGATTCTGGATGTATATTCCAAGACTCATTGGAAAAGGCACAAATGCTGAGAAGAACTGAAGACAATAGGAAAAGCAGAAGACCAAGTAAGAGGTGGATTGACTCCAGAATGAAACCACAGGGTTGAATTTGCAAGCGTTGAGCAGGGCTGTTGATGATAGAGCTTTTTGGAGGTCAGTAATTTATAGGGTTGACAGAAATCTGAAGTGACTTAACAGTCTCCATAAGTGATTTAACAACTAAATCAAGAAATACTGTAATCAACAACTACTGTATTTAGCTCACACAGTAATAGGTTGCCTATGTTTTCTAAGCAAAAGAAAGATGTGAGAATTTTGCTAATGTTAATGATTGTTAAGGCATTCTCCAGCAGTATTCCTGGATTGGACTGTCTAAACTCCAGTCCTGCGATGTTAGGTTGACTGAATAGCAAAATTTCACAGTGTTTCCATTCTGTACTTGATAATACAGTGAACACATTAATCATCATCATCATCTTAGAACTACAGAGCTGGAATGGATCATTGAGTCCAGCCCCTGTTAGGGAGGCACATTGGGGAATCAAACTCCCAACCTCTGGCTCCACAGCCAGAGAGCTAAACCAGAACTATCAGCCAAGAAGCAGGGGAAGAGAATGTTTATTCTAGCATAAGATTGCCTCAATCCATTTTTTGGATTGCACTGCTTTTGTTTTGAAATTGGTGAACTGGGAAATAGCACAACCTTATTTGTATGTTTGATGTCTCAGGTGTGTAATTCTGAAAGATTTGCGCGCTTGGTAGGAAAACATTGTAAGAGAATGGAATAAGAATTTGACTTTATGTCCAATCTGATCCTTGCTTCACAGAAATCCTGCTTTCAAGATCCTTGAGAGGTGGATCGTGTCTCAAAACATGGGTATTGTGCATCAAAGATGAAGGGTCAGACCGAACCAGTTAGTCACATTTCAGTATGACTGAAATGAAGGCTTGTGAGAGAAGAGAATGGTGGGATGATCTCAAACTTTGCCTTTGAGATCCTCTCAGAGGAACTCCAGAATTTTAACTTTGAATGTTTTAAGCAAAAACTGTGTGGTGTTTAGAAAGCAAAGCCTGCTGCTTATATATCACCTGTAGTGCTTAAAGTACTCTCTGGATGATTTACAATTTAATTATGCAGGCTACACATCCCCACCACCTAGCAAGCTGAGTACTCAGTTTACTGACCCCAGAAGGATGGAAGATTGAGTGAACCTTGAGTCATTTTCCTGATATTGAACCTGGGTCAGACTCGTGAGCAGAGTTTTGGCTGCAGTACTGCTTGAGAGCTGTTGGTTGTTTAAATGTTTTCTCGTCAGAAGTCATTTGCATGTTTGCACTTTTAATAAATAATAAAATAAATCATTATTTCTGTAACAAATTATATTTTATTAGCAAACACCAGATTTTCAACTGTATCCTAATTAGACATAAGTCCACTGAACTCAGTACATCACATATCAGCACATTATTATAGCTGTCATCAATCTACCTCAAATTAGCCATCACAATACTGTAATGTATAATCCATTTTAAAATGTATTCAACTCAGCTTAAAATTAATATATAAAATCCATAATAATAATAATAATTTATATATAGTTAATAATGGTCAGACTCCTATTGTAGTGTTATGCAAGTGTAAGTGTAATGCTGTAGTTTTAGAAGAGGTAGCCATGTTAGTTTGTGCTAGCATATCAGGCAAAACCAAAACAAAAATAAAAAATTAAGATGACAAAACATTGTGGCACATTAAAGATTAACTGTTATGTTTTAATGTGGGCTTTTGTGGACAAGTCTGGCATTAAAACACAGCAGTTTGGGGTGCCACAACATTTCTGTCTTCTTTATTTTTTAATTTTTCTTTTGGTTTTGCCCGATAGATAATGGTGTAAACTCCAACTGCTTCTTACTAACAAGGTTCCATTTGCATTCATAGTTGCACACTAAGTTGGGCACTTGGCACATGGCTAGGAAAGCAAGCAAAATCTTAATTAACAGCCATTCACTGCCATAACATATACCATTACACTTAGCCCAATGTAAATCTACAATAGGATTCTGGCTATTTCAGGCCATTTTAATGATCTAGTATTTATTTCCCTTGTGATAATTGTACATTTGTTCCTTTTTTCCCCATTATTGAAATACCAATGTTATTGAGCTAGGAATAAATAACTGATGGATTCAACATCACTATTTGATCTTTTCCTTCTAGGTATCATGAAACAATCATTATGACATCTAATGAGTTTTCTAATCCTGCAACTGCCACATAATTCTGAATTTAAATGGGATTCATTTATGGCTCATACTTTTGTATAGCTACACTCCACAAAATACACTGCCTGCAATGCATGTTGTTTTTGTCTCTGTTTCCAGCTAGATAAGGGAATCAACCAGCCACCTCAGGCAGCAGATTTTAGGTGTCAGGAAATTCTTGTTTATTTCTGGCTGGGAGAGACCTGCTAGTAGAATTTTATTTCATTTTATTTGGTGTCTTGTACCCAAATAGCTCTACTCGCTTTGGGGACTAGGAATCTTAATTTAGGTGAGCGGGGTTGCCATTTGATATCCCACCTCAGGCAGCAAAATGTCTTTGGCTGGTTCTCGCCCAGTGGGCCTGCTATGATCTCCCAAGCCATTATGCAGGGCTACCATGCTCTCCTCTTGAGTAGCCACTTCCCCTGAGTACCCACATGTATAATCCAGTCTCCCTCATATAAAACAATGCCCCTATTTTCATTTATGAGGTATTGGAAAGCATGGCCTCCCCTTCCCAAAATCTTCTGAGAAACCGTTCAACCAACTGGTATATAAGACGTGCCAAACAACGTGATGTACAGCTGGACCAGCCATAGGCTTTGAAGGGGATTCTATCAAAGCACAAGGAGCAGAGCCGTAATCTATTGCTGAAGGGCTGCTGGGCCTAGTGATTCAATTAAATGATTATGCATTAATGCTGCACCTGTCATGAGACGTGCTGCTCAACAATGGGACAAAAGAGAGGGTTTGTTGTAGCTCACAGCAGCAGCAGCTGGTGCAACAAAGCTGGAGGCAATGGCATGTTTTTCATCCTTGCCTTGCATGGAGGTGGGAGATGCTCCCATCAACAGCTCTTGAGCACCTGTTTTCAGAATAGAAAGGGAATTACCAGTACAACAACCTCAACTGACTGAACTGTCATCAGAGAGTTGCAGCACACCATTCCGCTCCATCTTTCACCTATTTCTAGTACCCTACAACTGTTGGGTTGTATTCAGTGCCTACTGAAAACAACCAGGCTTATTTGGATTGTTCCCCCTCCTTTTTTCAGTGTTCTTTTCCTGTATTTCTGCTAACCTTTGTGACTGATTACCCTGCGCTTTCTGATACTGTATTTCCCTTTTGAGCATGGACAGTATACATGATGTCTAATTTCCTGGATATTATTGATATCCCGAGCAAATTTAATTGGTCCTAGAGGATCAGACAGACCAAGATCTGTCATGGAATTTGGATGTATAAAGTGAACTCCTGTGGCACCATTAGCATTATTGTTGGAAGCGCCTGAATGCAAGTTAGCTTACACTGAAAATGCATGTATTTGCATGGAGAGGAGCAGAAGGAGAAGAAGACAGAGTGTGTGAGAGAGATACGGGTTGGGATAATCTGCACCATGTGCACAC